CAGGGAGTCGTCCACACCGCAGACCCCTAAGTGCAGCCGTGCTCCAAGAAGGCCTTATGTGTAGACACTGGAGTTTGAATTCCGTGCAGTTTTTATACATCACAAAATACTCCTCTGATGTTCTTCCCCAGCCACTTGAGAATGTGAAAGCTATTCTTAGCATAGAGGCCGTGGGCTGGACGGGCTCTGGCAGGCTTGGCTGGGACACTGGGCGGCCAACCATGGTGGTCACCGAGGTCACTGACCGTCCCCCGCAGCAGTGGGACCGTGTCTGCTTAAAAACAGAGGTGGGGACAAGGATGGGGTGGACGTCAGCCTGGGTGAATCCAGGAGAAACGGAGCTCCCTCGAATGTCACCCTGTCCCCGTCCCTCTCTGGTGACCTGGGTGCAGGGGCTGCTGGTCTTCTTTGTGCCCCTTCTCTGTGCTCCCACTTCCCTTCCAGCTGCGCTCACAAGGCCCAGGAAGCACGGGGTACATGATGGCCAGGGCAGGGTCAGTGGGCAGCAGGGCATCCAAGGAGGGGCAGGGGTGCGCCTCTGTCAGCCTGAGTTACCTGCAGGGCTTTGTCTCTCCAGTATCCCTGGTTGGTCCCTCTCTCCAGCCCTCCTCTCTTCTCCACCTCTGCTTCTCTCTTCTTGTCCTCCTCCTGCTGTTGGTCCTCCTGCAACCTGTCCTCTGTCCTCCTCCCTCCTCCTCCTCCCTCCTCCTCCCTCCTCCTCCTCCTCTCCATCCTCCTCCAATTGTCCTCCTCCCTCCTCCTCCTCCACTCCATCCTCCTCCTCCACTCCATCCTCCTCCCTCCTCCTTCAGTCTGTCCTCCCTCCTCCTCCTCCCTCCTCCTCCACTCCTCCTCCCCTCCTCCTCCTCCCTCCTCCTCCTCCCTCCTCCTCCCTCCTCCTCCTCCCTCCTCCTCCTCCTCCTCCCTCCTCCTCCTCCTCCTCCCTCCTCCTCCTCCTCCCTCCTCCTCCTCCCTCCTCCTCCTCCTCCCTCCTCCTCCTCCTCCACTCCGTCCTCCTCCCTCCTCCACTCCATCCTCCTCCCTCCTCCTCCAATTGTCCTCCTCCCTCCTCCTCCTCCACTCCATCCTCCTCCCTCCTCCTTCACTCTGTCCTCCTCCTCCTCCTCCTCCACTCTGTCCTGCTCCTTCTCTGCTTGTCCTCCTCCTCCTCCTCCCTCCTCCTCCTCCTCCTCCCTCCTCCTCCCTCCCTCCTCCTCCTCTACTCCATCCTCCCTCCTCCTCCTCCACTCCATCCTCCTCCCTCCTCCTTCACTCTCCTCCTCCCTCCTCCTCCTCCCTCCTCCCTCCCTCCCTCCTCCTCCTCTCCTCCCTCCTCCTCCTCCTCCCTCCTCCTCCTCCTCTCCTCCTCTCACTCTCTCCTCCTCTCCTCCTCCTCCTCCTCCCTCCTCCTCCTCCCTCCTCCTCTCCCTCCTCCTCCTCCCTCCTCCTCCCTCCTCCTCCTCTCTCCCTCCTCCTCCTCCCTCCTCCTCCTCCCTCCTCCTCCTCCCTCCTCCTCTCCTCTCTCCTCCCTCCTCCTCCTCCTCCCCCTCCTCCCTCCTCCTCCTCCCTCCCTCCTCCTCCTCCCTCCTCCTCCTCCCTCCTCCTCCTCCACTCCATCCTCCTCCCTCCTCCTTCACTCTGTCCTCCCTCCTCCTCCACTCCATCCTCCTCCCTCCTCCTCCTCCACTCCATCCTCCTCCCTCCTCCTCCTCCACTCCATCCTCCTCCCTCCTCCTCCTCCACTCCATCCTCCTCCCTCCTCCTTCACTCTGTCCTCCCTCCTCCTCCTCTACTCCATCCTCCCTCCTTCTCCCTCCTCCTCCTCCTCCACTCCATCCTCCTCCCTCTTCCTCCTCCACTCCATCCTCCTCCCTCCTCCTCCTCCACTCCATCCTCCTCCCTCCTCCTTCACTCTGTCCTCCCTCCTCCTCCTCCACTCCATCCTCCTCCCTCCTCCTCCACTCCATCCTCCTCCCTCCTCCTTCACTCTGTCCTCCCTCCTCCTCCTCCACTCCATCCTCCTCCCTCCTCCTTCAGTCTGACCTCCCTCCTCCTCCTCCTCCACTCCATCCTCCTCCCTCCTCCTTCACTCTGTCCTCCTCCCTCCTCCTCCCTCCTCCACTCCATCCTCCTCCCTCCTCCTTCAGTCTGACCTCCCTCCTCCCTCCTCCTCCTCCACTCCCTCCTCCTCCCTCCTCCTTCACTCTGTCCTCCCTCCTCCTCCTCCTCCTCCTCCTCCTCCTCCTCCTCTCCCTTCCCAGCTCTTCTCTTCCTCCAGGCCTCTGCCTCTCAATCCTGAGCTCTCTCCTTTCCTCTGGGCCTCCATTCTGTGCCTCCTTCCCTTTGTTTCTGACTCCGTTCCCTCCTCTCTGCCTCCCCCCTCTTGCCCTGTGTCTCTGTCCCCCTGTCCTCCTGCCTGTGCCCATGGCTCTCACTCCATCCCTCTGCCCCCGACTGGTTTCTCCCTGCTCCTGGCTCCTCTCGTGTGGCACACACCGCAGGGCAGTGCCGTCCCTGAGCTGTATGCTCTGCTGTTAGGGTCCCTTCACGTGCTGCTTTGTCCTGCGCCTGCTGGGATGTGCTTGATGATTCAGGCTGTAATTAAGTCACAACAGCAAGTGTGATTAACACTCGTTTTAGTGGGTTGTAGAATCATGAAGCAATCGGGCATCTGACAGGGCACTGATGGGAGCTGGGGGGGCAGGTCTGTGGCTGCTCCGCCCTCCCCTGGCCCCACACTGCCCTCACCTGCCTGGGTGCCGGCAGCTGCTCTGGGTGAAGAGGAGGGCAGCAGCCTGGTCCTGGGGCAGCCAGACCCCACACACAGCTGCAGGGCCACAGCCGGAGCTCCACACACTGCTGCTCTGGGGCCACCCCAGGCTCTTGGGGTGCTGGGGCTGCAAGGCTAGCAGAGGTGCCCACCCCTGTCTCCTTGTGGGCCCTCTGGGTCACCAAGCACTTTCTGCAGGGCGTCCTGGTGAGCGAGCCTCCCACAGTGAAGTGTGCTCAGAGGAGCGGGAAGCATTGCTGGGCTCTCTGAGTGATCAGAGGGGCGTGGACCCTGCACCGCGTGTGGTGACAGCAGCCCGGGTCTCAGCTGGGTCTCCGCAGGCGGGATCCCTGAGCTGCAGGCAGGTGTCACGCAGGCTGTGGACATATCAAGGCACGGTAGCGGGGAACACACTTCCTCATGGAAGCAGTTCCTCATGCTGTGGCCCGAGGTGGCCCTGTGCAGAGAGCAGCGGCTCATGGTGTGGCCCTCTGTCGTGACTGTGAGCCGCGGGGAACTAGACAGCGCCCGGGCTTTGTCTGTGGTCTCAGAAGTGGACTCCATCGCTTCTGCCAGGTTCTCAGGGGAAGCCCGGCCCTGGTCCACCCACAGCCAGTGGGGAGGATTGCGTGGGGACACCAGTCTCTCAAGGGATCAACCTCGGGTTTCAGAAGCCGCCTACTGCTGGGCTGGAAGAGCCAGGGCAGGGGTGCTGACTTGGGCGACATTCCAGGAGGCCCTTCTCCTTCACGCTGGGCTCTGCTGCCGAGGCCCCTCCTCTTCAGGACCTGCCTCTGTGCCCATCTCCCCTCCCACCCCCCAGTCCCACCGCCTGTGCAGGGGCTGGGGGGCCTCCTCCCAGCAGCCCACCCGCCTCCCCAGCTCCTCACCACAGTGCACACTGCCAGCTGCTCCGGCCGCACACAAGCACGGCTGGGGACACAGTGCCTGTGCCATGGGGACCCGGTGGTCTTCCCTGTGAAGGGGCCACCAGGGCTGTCGGCACCTCTGCTGAGATTCTTCACCCTGGAGTGGGGTGCTCAACGTCTGCCCGTCCTCAGTGAGCACTGGTGAAGGTCCTGGGGGTGGGGAGGGTGGTGGTCCCTGGGTGGAAGTAGAAAGTGGAGACTGGAAGAGGCTTAAACCAGTGTCCAAAACTGCACAGGAGCAGGTGGCCGGCGGAGGGCGGGATTCAGTGCTGCTTCCCTCCCGTGTTCCGTAAAGCTGAGCGTGAGCCTCAGCCAGAGACAGGGTGCCCGGCATCCCCTCGGGGGTGGCTGAGGTGACCCAGGGCCCAGGCAGTCAACATGCAGCACCATCTCAGTGCAGCTGTCCTGCTGCCTGGCCATCCTTGAGGGGGATCACAAGTTCAGGCCACTCAGCAACTTAGCCAGGCCCTGCAGGGAGCTCGCTGACTGAGCCTGGTGTACCTGAGGAAGGCAGGCCCTGCAGGCTGCGTTGGACAGTCTTTGTCCACGACTGAGCCCCGTCCTAAGCTCGGGAAGTGATGTGAGATGACACTTCATTGGACATCTGAGTCCTGCTGCCTGGTCCCCACTGCATTGTCCACACGGTAAGCACAGGAGGGTCCCAGGGCAAACCTGTAGATAAGGCAGATTGGCTGGCCACTGCTTCCTGGGGACTCCCCTAGGGTACACTGCTCATCTTCAAGGCCTCCGCCCTCTATGGAGAGCCAACAGGGATGGGCAGCTCGAGTCCCGCCGCTCTCCGGGCAGTGGGATTGTGGGCACAGATGGGCAGATTCTCAGAGCTTTGGTGCTCAGGTCAGGTCTTGGCTCGGGCTGGCCTTCTAAGGGGTCTTTCAGGCAGGTGACATCCACTTAACTTCTGTCAAGAGACGTGGATGGAAACCCGTATTTTACCATCTTGGTGAAGCTCTAGGGCCAGCAGCCCGCAGTGGGGCGGGCCATTCCCTGCGCGTACCCCCACATTTCTCTTGATTCTGTCCTCAGTGCTCAAATCCAGGCCAGAAGACTGTCCTGTTCAGATTCCTGAGTAGTTGTCCATCTCTGTGCGCGTTTGCATCTGTTTGAGGGCCAGAGAAAACACTCCCACTGTTCATAGTGCGGATGGCTGGAGTGAAAGGAGAGAAAAAGGCCGACTCACCTGGAGGCCCCACCGGGATCCCAGAGCCGAGCCTGCTGTGGGACCTTGTGTCGGGGTCCTAGACCCAGCCACCAGCCTCACCTGTGCGCTCCTCCCCCCCCAGGAACCAACGTCCAGGAGGCTCAGAGCATACTCAGGAACAGCGGCCTGCCCATCACCGCCGCCGTGGACCTGGAGGATGCTGCCAAGAAAGCCGTGGCCAGTGTGGCAAAGAAGTGACCCTCCTGTGACCCTCTGTGCAGCGGGTCCCGCCCTGGGAAGGGGTGAAGGTCTCGCAGCTGCTCTCTCCATCACCGTGTCTACCCAGCCTGATCTTCCCCCGCAGCCCCCCATCCCACGCTTCCCCACGTGAGTGCCCAGTGGGCCGGGACGGCCTCACCACAAGGCCCTGGTTCCCGGACCCCGAATCTCACCTAACCAGAACCCACAGGCCACCAAGGTCCCAGGTGGGATTCCCTATAGCACTGGCCGCCAGGGGTACAGGGGGACATCCAGGCAGGTAGCTCTGACGCCCGGTCACCACGGGTGTGGTGTCTGATTCCCACACAGCCACAGTGTCCCCCCGGAGGTGCCTCGTAGTGCGTCTCCACGTTGACCCACCGTGCTTGCTTGCACCGTTGAGCACACCCTTCACCTCTCCCTGAGGCCTCACTCGTGAGCTCCCAGTTCAGGGCCAAAGCTGGTGCGTGCTGATGCTCACGGACCCTCCGACCCTCCGTAACTGAGTCCTGGCAGGTGACCCGGCACTGAAGGTCAGACTGGTGCTTCTGCAGAGCCGAGTCTCCTTCCCTCCCGTCCTCACCCAGCACCACCAGCTGAGGTAGAAAGGCGGGAAGTTCTCACCTGAGGGAATGTGGGGCTTTCCATTCCGTCCATTTTTGTGGTGGGAAAAATTTGAATTTAGTTTTTGTTCAGATTTTGGTGAATTTTTATCTGTAGGCAATTTTAAATAAAATCATGCTTCTTAAACTCTAAGACGTGTGCTTTTCTCATTTTAGTCGATTCTGTTCCTTGAACGATTGATTTTTCTTTTGCTGAACCACCAGCACTCATGCCTTAGATGCTCACAGCTCCAAACTGCAGAGTCTCAGGTACCCCTGGGTCACTCCACCTCCCTCAGCCTCTCCCCTAACTGGTCCCACAGCAGAAGATGACTCACTGAAAAAATAGGAGTATTTACCAAGCAGAAGCCGGGAAGCGCCTGAGCGGCGGCCACACAGAGTGGAGGGGGTGGGGGCTCCTGCGCGACCAGGCCCTGCCTGTTACCCCGGCTCTCCTCCAGCCGGGCCTGCAGCACCCACTGCCCTACCTGCTTTCCAGAGGCTCACGCTGCTCTGTGAGTTTCCATGTGGACAGAATGCCAAGAGCCCCGTGAACACCCGTGGAGGAATTCGCCTCCGGTCTCTCAGCCCTTCATCCCTCTGTGGCTTAACAGGGTGCTAGTGGGTGAAAATAGTAGCTCTGCATCCTGAGATGAGGCGACTGTCTGCCGGTTGGAATTTCTGTCTTCACCCAAGGCCTGCTTCCCTCCTCATGGACGTACTTCCACTCGGCCAGAGGGGACGGAGGCATGGAGTCGTCCTGCAGTCCTCCAGGGAAAGGGTGAGTAACCAGCAAGTAACATTTGCCTTTCAAGTGGAGGTTGGTGGTCAAGGTCTTCCAAGGAAACCTTGGGAGGCCATGTGCGCATGCTGCTCCAGGGCACCCAACGCTGTGTGGCGTTGTTCCCGGGACCTGCAGGGTCCCTGCGGTGCCTATGGGGTCAGATGCAGGCTGTCCCCTGGGGGCTGTCTGTTTCCTGCACCACCATGCCCTGGACTTCAGACCTGGAAATAGAAGAATACTTCCCCTCACATCAGGTCGCTGGGTTTAAACCTGCTCTACTGTGGCAAGAGGGTCCTAGAAAGCCTTGCCCGCCCGCGTGTTGCTCCGTGTCCGGGAGCCTGCAGAACACCACCCTCTGCACCAGGACTGCTCGCGGGTGGTGCCGCTTTGCTGGTCGGCTGGGACGCTGCAGCCTCTACAACCCGCCTCAGGCTCAGAGGCTGAGCCCTGGCCCTCCCATGGCCACTCCATTTCGGAGTCGATGAGCTCTCTGTTCAGAGTCTGGTTGTGACCAAAACTTAAGCTCAGAGACCAGGAGATGACTCTGCTCCTGGGGCTGTACAATTGTTTTCCGTTGCAGATCAGGCCCAAGGCCACCAGGACTGGTTCCTGCTTCTTAGCCCAGCTGTCTGCAGGCCTCATTCTCAGGTGGGCTGTTCCACAAGGTGGCAGATGGCTGCAGGCCACCCCAGCACATGCCCTCTGGCTGAGCCTCAGCAGAAGAAGAGAGAGGGAGGGAGATGGTTAGGGTAGGAAGAAGGAAGGAGGCTTGTCTCTCCTGGGGATTCTAAGAAGCATCCCAGATTTTGGTCCTGATGGCTCTGATGACCACTTGGGAGTCAGAAACCTAATCCTGAACCTGTCTGTGAGTTCAGGGTGCTGTGCTAGGTCCTTCTTCCATCCGTGGGGTGGCCTGAGGCAGAGGAGGGCCTCACCTGACCACCCTGCCTAGACAGGAGGACCTGGAGCCCTGCAGAGGAAGGGCACATTCCCTGAAGGAGCGTCAGAGCCTGCTACACTCCCCTGCAGGGCGGGCTGTGCGGGGTGGTTCCTGGGTGCTGCCTGGAGTTGTGTGGTCGCCACTCTCCCTGCTCTGTGGGTCTGTTTTCTCACAGGCCTGCAAGTCGCCAGGTTTCCTTGTAGGGGCTGCCTGAGCTGTCCATGGTGAGGGTGGATTTGTCTTGAGCACTGGCACTCACCCGAGAGGCCAGGGCACCGAGGCCTCTGCTCCACAGCAGCTCCAGGGCTGGTGAGCTCATGGTGAGCAGAACAGCAGGGAGGGTTTTCAGCAAGGCTTGGTGCAGCGTTTCTGAGTAGTTCTTCACAGTTCGTGTCTGTGTCCCTCTGTATGGAGGGGGAAAAAACAAAACTCTTCCTAAAGAATTTTATTTATTTTTTAAATTGACAGCTGTCATAAAAATAAGAAGAAAAATTATTTTTAATATGTCTAAATCAGACATCTAAAAGTCTAAAGTGATCCTTTATAGAATACATTGTACATTCAAACATAAAATAAGCAAGAACACATTAATAATGGCAAAAAAAAAAAAGGAATGTGTGGAAGAGTAGGTGTGTTTTCTAACATGCTTCTGAGTCTGAGGTGGCACCCGAGGCTGAGGCAGATTTCCTGGGACAGCGACGCCCACTTCTGGGTAGACCATCTGCAAAGGCAGCCGCAGGTGTGATGGAAACCTCGTGGTCTGGAGTGGCTTCTCCTGGGCCTTGCAGGAAAGGTTCACCACGCCTGCAAGGTGAATCGTGGACAAACATAGAGTCATTGTCACCAAAATAGCAGCCACAGATCATTGTTTTCAAGTCTGGGGAAAGCAGATGGAGGCCTTAAAGTGAAGCAGAGGTGGAAAGAGCAGGAAATGGGATCTTCACTCTATCTAAACCCTGCCTGGACCTAGGGGTCTACACAGGCACATCCAGGGAAAGCCAGCGGGGGTGCTGATCCCGGGCCTTCACCACGGCTGGCTGCCGGCTTCTCTGCGTGCAGGTGCGATGGAAGGCAGCTGAGCTTCGAGGGGCTACACTGCCAAGCTGCCGCAGCTGTCTAGCCTCAGGCCTGCACCAGGTACTGCTGAGAAAGAACACCAGGGGAAAGTGACTTTGGTGCCTGCAGTCCCCACGTTCTTGGGATGGCGTCGGGAGGTGGCGCGGCTCCCCTGGAGTCTCTGCACTTCAGCTCTTCCTGCAGTCTGTCCTTTGCTGTCCGGCAGGATGCTCCTGCTGATAGCTGGGTGAGGACCCACACTTTTCAGGACCCAGGCATTCCCCACTTGTGACTGGTGGGCACCAGGGGCTGAATTTTGAAGGCTGTTTCCAATCACTGAAGCGCCGCAGTGACTGTCGGCCACCACACCGTGGGGAAGCCATGACAGCTGGGAGAAGCCTTGTGTGATCCACAGTGCTCCACGCCAGGGTGGCAGTGCCGAGGGAGTAGAGAGTGGGAAGGCACAGCAGCAGGGAGAAGACGCGCCCCCACACCAGGGTGGCCCTGCAGGGACAGGGGAAGCAACAGCCAAGTTGGAGGTGTTTGAAAGACTCCGTGACACAGCGGTTACTGGTGGAACCTGTGTGGGTCACTAGAACCAAGGTGCTGCTTCCAGGACGGACAGGACTCAGTGTCCTGATGAGAGAGCGGCCACACGGACACCCACAGGACACACTGAGCAGATCCGCGAAGTGTTCTGTGGGAACAGGGACGGAAAACATTTCCCAAGAGTATGCAGCCAAGGAGTCCTTTGTCCCAGAACTAGGTCTGAGGGACACTGCGAACCACTGCTGCATCTCACTTCAGTGTAGTGAGTGGAACCAATGACTTGGGTTCTGCACCAACAGGGGAATGTCGTGTACCTGCTGTGTCAGGTAGACACATGCTCATGTGAAAAGCCGTCAATGGCACAGGCCACAAGAGAGCAGTAAGAGCATCCATAACCATCTTCAAAAGATGTTTCCATACGTGTACACACATGTGCACACATGCACACACACCTGCATGACTACACCCACAGAAAATTGGCCCTGAAGATATGAATGTTTTTCACCTCCTTTGTCTTTGTGGTTCTCATCTGAGGGCGGGTTTACTACCCACGGTTCCTTTTTCTCCAAACCTGGGCCATGCTCTCACTGTTGGGAGCACCGGCCAAAGGCACAGCATCTTGCAACTGAGACCTGCAGCTAGAAGTGAGCCCAGTGCTGGTAATGCCAGGTGAGACCCTGCCTGAGCCGAGTGTCCTCACTCGCTTCCCAGAATATGCCACTTAAAAGGGGGCTTGGAAATGTAGCTGATTAAGTTTAATTCAAACAAATGTTTGCCTAACATCTGCTGTCCCTGGCAACGGGGCGGCTGCAGGGAGAGAGGAGATTCATGGAGAGGGTAATCTGGACACGCTCGGAACTTCCCACCACAGCCTGAGAAGACCTGGACAAGGGGCGGAAAGAGAAAGGCCAGGAGCCCCGACAGCAATGCCTGTAAATGATGGACACGTGTCCCAGGTGCGTCAGCTGAGGATGTTACACCTTGGGGGCGGGGCTTGAGCTCTGAGGATATTCGTAGATTGAAGATGGTTTAGAAGTAAACGATTGATTATGTTATGGATTCCAAGCCCACTTCCTAAACTCTTTGTTTTATTTATAAACTATGCTATTTTCGCTAAAGGATTTTCTTTTTTTTTTTTTTATACTGGAGATTGAACCCAGGGGCACTCAACCACTGAGCCCCAGCCCCAGCCCCTTTTACTTTTTATTTGGAAACAAGATGCCACTAAGTTACTTAGGGCCTCACTAAATTGCTGAGGCTGGCCTTGAACTTGTCCTCCTGCCTTGGCCTCCCAAGTCCCTGGGATTACAGGTGTGTGTCAGGACGCCCAGCAGCAGAGGACTTAGAAGTGTCCTTTGGTTCATGCTTCCTGACTTGGTGAAACCGCTATAAACATCCCAGCTGTCTGTACATCTTTTCTTCTTAAGTGCTTGTTTTCAGTTGTGTGGTAAACCATCTCAGGCACTTAAGTCATTTTCAAATCTAATGTGTTTGATCACATGTGAAAAGCAGTCTTGCTCATGTCCCTTCAAGGAGCCTGCATTGTCTGCTTGGTGGAGTCCACCTCCCTCGTCCTTGTCAACCCCCGTCATGTGGGACTGGAAGCAGGCTGTGGCCTATGGGGCAACAGCGGCTCTGGCTCCGTGTTCGTGAGCCACAGGCCTGCTCTGGGAAGGACCAGGGTGCTGCACCTCCGCAGGGTGGGGCTCCTGGCCTCCCGGCCCACTGCCCATGCAGCTGCACTCTGGTGCTCAGGCCCTGCCCGTTCTGCACAGAGTTCTTGTCTTGTGTCAGGTGAGGCTGGAGTTGGGTTCTGTGGTGTCTC